TTACGCTTCAGTCAAGTTGAGGGCGTGCTTGGTAAAATAATGGTTCCCATAAATGGGATTTAAGCAACCTGTAACTGACCATCCAATTTTGGCAACAAATGTAACAATTTTTTTTCATTGCAGTATATCATTAACCCTGGACACTGGTGTTTGTCTCCAAGCTAGCTCTACTTTAAGATTCTGTATTAGTACTTAAACTAATTCTTTACAATCTGAAATTAAACATTTAGTGAATTCTACCAGGAAGTTCAAAATACTAAAACCTGAGTGAGATCTGACAGTGAAATGTACTGTTTGTTAAAACTACATGGGTCAGAAGCATTTCAGAAATGTTCAATTTCTCATTTTCTCTTTTTTCAGTTGAATTTCAGAAGTTGCAAATCTTCTTAGAGAAAGATGTCATCCTCCAAAACCATTTTACATTTTAAAACCTTTGGTCACGTTCCCCTTTTTTAACAGACCTTTTAAATGAAAAATTATCAGCGTCTAGCCCAGATACAACCCACCTCTCACCTTTTAAAAAGTTAAATAACTGCTTAAAATAGAAGTTATTTTGCTGTCTTTGAAATATTTTTATGGACTTTTCAGCAAAAAAAAAAAAAAAAAGATACCCAATAGTACCTTTAACACAGAACCATCACGGGACCCGTGAATCACTGCAACACTGAAAACCCGGGGGACGACCATGCACATTACATGGTATGCACTGTCCTGGGTAAGGGAGTCCACAGACTCATCAGTCTCATGAGGCCTGTGACCCAGATGCGTAGCCATCGCTATGATGAATTTGTGCCAGTCACTATCCCTAAGTAGAACATTTCTTTTGTTTTGTAGTTACCCATCTCTTACACAAATCTAACTTCAGAACATACAGCATACATCATGCAAATGTTACTAACGAGTTCTTTCGTGAATCAGGAGGGCTATGTAAAAACAAAGAAAACACTCTATTTTTCTAAACATTTGTTAAACAAGCCATTAGTAGCATATTGGATTTTGAAGCAATGAAAAGAACTTGGGAGGGCTGGACTGTGAGAAACTGCCCTTTTTGTCTCCGTTGCTTCCTCATCAATGCAGCAGAAGCTTTGATCATTGCCTTACTTGCTAGAAAAGTCTATTTGAAGACATAAAGGTTGGTTCTTGTTGGTTTGTGCCATTCATGTTCTGGGTTCAGAGGAAAACATCCTTATGGCTTTTGAAAGAAGTAGGAATCATTCTCCTCCCTCCTGGTGACATCGATCCGCTAACTCCCAAGTTCTCTTAGTGTAATACGCCCAGTTTGTCAGAGCAGAAATTGATGAGGCTCTTAGCTCAAGAAAATTGAGTTGGACAGTTTGTTTAGAAGTAGCAAAAATGAGAATGGAGGAATAAAGAGGAGAGAGGAACAGGCAGACAGAACCAAACGGGGTAGAGGGGAAATGAGAGCAAGATGTCATGCAGCATAAGGGGGAATCTGCTATTTTCTTGTTTTATCAACCCCAGCCCCACCTTCTAACTCCTGTTCCCCATCTAATAAAAGTATTCATTAACTGCAATTTCAACCCCATCTGAGTTTTCTAACTACCACTTTAATAGATTGGTGGTATAAAAGGAGAAGCAGTGAGAGCAGAGGCCACTAGCTTAATACACAAAACAAGAACAAGGGAGTCCGTGTGAAGGTGAACCAAAGCGATGGAGGTGTCCAACTGACGGGGAAGTGGGAGTGAAGGCCTCCATCCTGCAACTGCACTCTATCAGCGGGGCCAACACGTCGTCACTGAGACCAGCTACTGACCAAACAGAAGTAGACACTTAGAAGATGTTTCTTAAATATTTCAAGCATATTCCGAATTACAGAAGTCAAAACAACCCAAAACACGGCACACTGACAGAAACAAGGTAAAATTCAGATTCTACAAATTAATACATTACAAAGATGTCTTGTCAATGCCTAAAAGAAAACTAGTCAAAAGACTAGATTCACTCATTTAAAAGTGGTCATCTCACCAGCAGAATCAGCAAGCAAAGTATCTGAAACTCTTCAAGGTCCCTTCAAAGAAAACCCCCAAACGAGGAACTTGTCCACATTATTTTCTAATACCACATCCTAAGCATCACCTTGTACAAAGAGCAACCAAAACAGTAAAGGTGCAAAGCCTCTCATTCAACAGAACTAATATACACTCAAAATTCAAAATTAAGAGGAAACAAAATAAAAGCCACCACCACAACACAGAAAACCAGTATGCAATTTCATCTTTTTTCTTTTTCATAAATCAAACTGAATTATCAGATAAATGTATCCAGTAAATATTGGCAGAAAATCATTAAAACAAAAAACCTACACAAGAATTATTTGGCTAAAATTGGTTATCAATACTGAATGTATTTTCAATAAAAGCTTTACTGAAATAAAATATGAATGCCTTAAACTTAAAACCCGGCCTGTAAGTATTTCCAGGGTTGGAGAATACTGAGAAATGCATGACCCCTTTCTTTGAATGGCTGCTGTAAGAAGTGCCAATTTTGTGTCCACTAAATGGCTTTAAGCCTTATCAGTTCAATTTTAATTTTACTGCAGAGTTTTCTCTTGGATGATATTTTTCATTTTAAGGAGGGAAAAATAAACAGAAGAAAAGAGATGTGGTGAATAAAGGGAATGAAAATGAAGTATGGGAGGGGTGGGAGGGGGGCCTGTCTTGTCCAGGAAAGTATCTGGCATGTTGTAGGTGGGCAATAACCTTTTTGGGGGGGAGTGGGGGTGAGGGGGGAGAGAATGAGTGACCCAGTTACAAAATTAACATACGAGATTAATAATTATGCTTAAATGTAAACTCCTTGAGGGCAAATGCCTATTCATAATCCGTAAGTGTAAAATACAGTTCTGCATACAACTGTGCATTTTGTGGAAGAGCTAGACCTACGACTGACTAAGGGATGGACAATGTAGTTCAGGTGACTTACATTATAATTATTTCATTCATCACTCCTTAATGCTACGAAGTTAGGAAGAAATGGGGCAAGAGCAGTTCTACTTGCATAGAACTCTAGTTTACTTGATGCATTATCACTAAAAAGATGCTTGAAATGCATATAATGCGAAATAGGAAAAATATTACTTTGATTTTGTCAACGTATAATCCCTAAAAGAAAGTATGTTAAGACATCTTATCTTGCTCAAACAGTAAGATTGATCAGTAAATATTTTTAAAGTTAGGGTAACAAGAATCTGCTATACAAAAATTGAACTATGTTTAAAAAGCAGCAAATTAGGTTCATTCTCTTAAAACATTTAAATCAAAGTACATTTGTAATGCTACATTATCACCACAGAGTTTTTTCCCTCCAAAGAAAATAAGAGAACACATCAATATTTTTGAGGTATTGCCCTGAGATGCTATAATTAGTTCAAAGGGACAGAGTGGAATCAAGAATTTAAGTGGCTTAAAACGAAGGACACAGCAGAGGTGCAAAAGCACCTTTTAAAAAGTGGGGGCAATTCACCTTTCTCACCAACCACTAAACGCCCGGGATCAGGAATACACACCGTCTATTATAATGTAGACTTCCTTCCTGTCGGAAAGGAAAGTTTCATAATGAAAAACTTTCTTTTTTTTATAACGAAAAACTTTATCTAGTATGGCAGTGCTGACTTATGTGGAAAAGACATCACCTTTTTAGCTCAAGTTTCAATTTTATTCCATTTCCAAAGCTAATTTCAGTAATAGAATATTTTTATCTTTTTTCTTGTTCACTTTAAGATTCTCAAATAAACAAGCCTCTAAATATGTTATGGTTTGAAATATAGCTTTCCACCACATACCTTAATTGTGATTTAAGATTCTACATCTCAAAATATTCCAGTTCAGTTCAAGGCTTGGAAATTTCTAGAACTAAAAACTACAGTCTACTTAAAAAATAAAGAAACTGAATTGTTGTAATACGGAATATAACTTTGAGTAGTAGGATGCCTGGAACTCAATCCACTCTAGAAGCACTGTTATTCACTAAATGCACATCTAGATGCTTACAAAGCCATTAACTTAGCACAGTGGTTCTCAACGTCCCTAAGCGCCCCCCCTTTAACACAGTTCCTCATGTTGTGGTGACCCCCCCAACCATAAAATTATTTTCGTTGCTACTTCATAACTGTCATTTTGCTACTGTTACAAATCAGGCAACCCTGTGAAACTGTTGTTCCACCCTCAAAGGGGTCGCGACCCACAGGTTGAGAACTGCTGACTTAGAACACGATCACACTTTGCACTCGACGACAGATTTTAGTAATTAAGCACTAATTGTTAAAGTACGGAATTGGTTCTTTAATTCCAACTTAAGAATTTCTTAATATAAATAGTATTTCAATATATTTTTTAGTCATGCTGGATTAAAATATAAATAAAATACAATTAAGTTACATTTAACCATCTCACAAAGAGGGATAATAAAATGATTTTGCTGGTTTATAACTACTTAAATCTGAGACATCTCACATTACTTTCCCACTACTTCCCTAACTTTTAAGGCTATATATACAAATAAAATATGTATACTTGCTAGTCAGGGGAATAAACAAAAATTAATATATATATATATAAAATAGATTATACTACCTTTATACACAAATTTTTGATTTTGTGTTTAATGTTGTATTTTAATCTTACACCAAAACAGTTTTCTGGTGGGAAGTCTGCCTACTGAATGCTTAAATTACATAGTGATAAATACAAAAGTCAACCTAGCGAGACAAGGAGCACAGAACAGTAGTCTTTTCAATGTGACAGATTTAAAAACTTACTTTCACATGCTTAATCTTAGGAATTTAAACCTAAATTAAATTATCTATAATTCCTTAAATTTTGAGAGTTATTTTTAAAGACCAACAACTAAATATTATCAACATGCTATATTTCAAATCACAATTACATCTTAACCACTGTATTCTAAAGACACGGGCCAATGAAGTTATACACACACACACACACACACACACACACACACACACAAACACACACACCATGGAGTGTTAGATTGTCAAGCTTGACAATTACTTTAATTAAACAGTAGGTAAATTTAGCTGATGCACATCTCCATGAAAAATAAGCAGAAAGAAACAACAGACTTTAATATTACAGGTTTCCCCCTTCCTAGGAAGAGAAACAGGTCTATCTATGTCTTGGGTAACACATTATTGTCCATTTAATAGACTAACATCTTTCCCCCATGAGAAACTTCTCATTTACAATGACATGATGTTTCAAAAGGCCGGGATAAAAGAGGAATTACACGTACATGATTAAATTTCTTGTTTGTTAAATCAAGCTTTATTGATAAAATGGAATTCAGAATATCTTACTAGGAACAGCAGCAGGTTCAGCCAATCGTAGTAAAATGTGGCAGTCTCCTACATTACATAGGAAGCTGCTGCTTATCAATTAGTAATTTAATGTAATGACTTGTAAAAGAGGTGCAAAGAATCAAGGCATTCTAGCCCCAAGATTGATATTAAGAATATACTGTATTACCCTTCAATACTCATGGCAACACGGAGAGAACCACCTGAAAGACAGTTGAAACGAAGGGAAGGCTTTATCAACAATGCCAATCCCAACTCCAACATTTAGTTTTCAAAACCCCCCTGCATGTTCAGCTTTTTAAGATTTTGAAATTACTGTCCATAATCGCGTGCACGTTTGGGCATCTAGCTGATGTGGCTGCTGCTCTCCCTGTGTCCCAGTCTCCAATTCAAAACACAGCATGACTTGAAAGGGCTATATGTCTGCTGTATCACACAAGCCAAACATTTCTTGTAACTTTGATAGTGATTTAAAGCAGTTCATAATTAAATATGAGCATTTGTACAAGGACAATTACACTTTACAAAAAACAAAATCATACAACAAAAATTGCTGGAGTCTGATTTACAACATGAATTATGGTTTGAAATCACGTTTACGTAAGTCTCAAATTTTACCAAAAAAAAAAAAAAAATCAGTTCTGGGCTAGCTGTTGTACTGCTGAAGTTCTCTGTTGTAATCACTCTCACCCACGTCATATCCCCTTCTTTTACGCTGAGGATGGCTGTTAAAAAGATTCATTGAAGTAGAGCTGCACTCTCCTTTGGAGGTGAAGGTAAACTCCATGGCTAGAGGAGCAGTTTTACCACATATCATCAGTTGATGTAGAGTCCTTTATAAGAGAAAATAAAACAAGAAATTAAAGTGGACAAGTGCCAAAATACATTACTTTCTGGATAATATAAACTAGTTTCTATAAAGTAGATTTTTAGGGTGTAAGTATTTTTCAAAAGTATATGTACATGTATAAAATATCAATATTTAATTTGTTCAGAGAAATTTTAACCCTCCTTTTAAGGTAAAATACATTATATCTGGTTTTATCATGAAATTAACTGAATGTACTTCTAAACCAATAAGACTATCAAAAAGAATTATATTTGTTTCCTTAAATAAAGCCCATTTATTTTGGGGGTAGCACTTCTCTAAATTTTCACTGTTTAAGATGAAATTAGGGTCGCAAATAATGGAATTTTTCCTTGAACTTTTTGAGTCCTCGTGTTGTTTCAAAATGTAATAAATGAAATATTTCAGGAAAGTGGAGAAATGGTGTTAGGTTACCAACTTCCTATAAAAATTACTCTGGCAGAATTCCAACAAAAAACTTAGAGAATGTGGCATTTAATGTCTATATAAATGGAATCTTCCATTTTCATATTTGAATAAAATGATACATTTCAGGGTTCCTGGTAATCATAAAAACTATTTAGTGAAAACAAACATTTAAAATTTAAATATCATACCTGCTTACAAAACTCTGAAAAATATAAGATTCTGCATAGAGATATCATTACCAACTTCAAAAAAGCATTTAGCAGAGGCAAACCTTTGAAATGGGTTGCTTTTAGAAGCTTACAAAACCTAAAATAATTCAAAAGGGCTTTCTTCTTTTGAGGTGGCCACTCACCATGACAATGTCCTCAATGATTACAATTGTGGTGTGCAGGCAGAGATCAGAGCACTCAATGGGGTGGGGTGGGGGGGTGTTTAAGAGAACGGGTGCAGTGAACACCTTTGCAAACAGGTGGGAAGGATATGCATTTAGAGCGGAGGGGCAGGGCCCGCAGAGGGAGCTGAACTCTTACTTACTGTGTCATCATTTTTGTAAGGATTCAGTCTATTGTAAACAGCTTCAATTATATTCCGCCTATATTGAAGGAAAAAAAACAAAATTAATTCTTCAAAAAGTAAAACACTGTCTAATAACTTATATCCAGGTGTTCATTAAAGCATTAAAGACAATCTAGTATTTCTTGCTCCTACAAGTGAGCTTCACTTGATTAATTGGGGCCTAATGATTTTCCACTAACTCAGTTAACAGAAGACTACAAGTCATGGTTTAAAAAAAGATACATCAGAATCTACTTCTATTTGAAGTGTGGCAGCAATGAAATGCAATTCTTACAAATATATACTATGTAGTCTATGATTATATGGTAGAGTTGTATGTTAATTTTAAAGAAGTAGTTTCAACACATTATTATAATGTAAATGTGTAATTTTCTGCATTTCTTAATGCTTTTAAAGCTTTATTATAACTGAAATGCCAAATATGATTATTTCCATGACAAGTCTAGGAATTTCCCTTTTAATATTTAATTTTAAAAAATCTGAGGTGGGATTTATAAGTTATAGTCTCCCTACTTCTAAAATTGATTCGAAGGTGTTATACACATTTTGCAAAAGTTCACATAAGAATGCTTACAATCACTATTGAATAAAATGATTACAAACAGCATGGTCATAACTTGTAAGCCATGGTGGAAAATCAAGAAAAACGGCGAATGATAAACACTTAGAGTTCCAATATACCAGTAGATAATATTTGAGGTAAAAATGTTTTAAGGCTTGAATTTTTAAAACGCTCGAATTCTCCATTAAATGATGTATGCTTTAATATTTAAAACAAAATAACACAGTTCTATCAGCCAAAGTAGAGAGGGAAAAGCTCAAGACATCCACCCTTCTGTGGTCCTTGACTCCCCAAACCAAACCAAGCAAACAAGCTAGAGAAAGATGGCTTGATAAAGGCGATATGAAGTGTGATCCAGGGGTCGACAAGTTCAAATAGCAGTAACAATAATCGCACTTAGGGTTTTATAATGCCATGTAGTTTTAAATGTGCTTTCACTATCTCATTTATGCCAGGGGTGGAAAAATGTTATACAAGCTTTCACTGAAGACATATCTACAGTGTAATTAGTTACAATGCCATCCTGATACCTAATCAAGCAACATATGTCACTGATACTGAGAAACACTGAACCACAGGCTACATAAAATATTTTGGAAACAGATAATTGCATCAATTTACAAATTGCAAATTAACATTTGATCAACATACACCCAAATGTTTCCAAAGTCTGGTACAAAGCATAAGAGTGTGCAGATTGTAACTTACTTGCTTGCCAATTCGCCCCCTGGTGGGAGGCTGGGGATGTTCTCACTGGCTAATGTGCGCATCACATGGACTAAGTCAGGGACGCCTTCCCCCTGCTTCTTTATGATTTCTGGGAATCAGAAGTACTTTTTTTGTAAGTGCTATCCAAATTTAATTTTAAAAAACTGAAACAAAGATAACTTAGTCTTTTAAAGATGGCATTTACTACATCTGAGATTTTCTTAACTGGTGTCATTTAAATTTTTAAAAATGAAAACGCCGGCATTTTAACATTTCTGACAAAAGTGTGTACAAAATGACACAAAAGACAAAATATTTTCCAGATTAACATTAAAGAAGGAAATTAATCAAGATAAAATTTGAGAAAGAACCCTATTTCATGTTGTTAACTCAATGTGTCACATAAATAAGAGTATGTGTACAAGTAAGAATAGCCTTCTTAAGATGCCATGCAGTTACTTCTGAGGAGCCCATCTCCTCTCTTTAGACCGGAACCATTTTCCCTGAACTTTGTCCTGTAAAATACATGGCACAAATTTAAATGAAAAAAAAAAAATTAAACAATTTCAAGAATTGAAAAAAATAAGATTTATTATGCACTACTCCAAAACATTTTTATCGATGTTATACTTGCAAAATAATAGCTAAGTAGCACACAGAGTTAACATGTTCCTGACCATCACTCTCGGCTTAATTTTTGTCTAATGTATTTTTGAACAATAAACATATAATACCACTTCCTCAGTTGATTATTTGAACAAAGCCTTGAATGAAAAGTCTAATCTTCAGGACATTTTAAAAAAGAAAATAATATTTGACAAACCAGACAAATGCATTTAAAATAATAGCAAACATCCAATTATTAAATGGGCAGAGTGATATGATCTGTAACATTGTGCAGATTTATACTGCTACTCATACCACACAATACCAAGATGATGTACAAGGACTTAAAGAACTCTCAACTACACACTGAAATACAGGAGTGCAAGATCATATCAAAGGTATTTCTTCTAACTCTTATCTTCAAATTTTGTTCAATTTTCGGTGTTTATTTAAAAATATTTTAGTCATCATTGGGTCCATAAAACAATCTAGTTCTCAATTTGTAAATATATTTGAAAGTACCAATGCATATAAAGATCTTTCATTTTCTGATGAATTCTCAAAATATTAATTCACCATTAAAGGTACATTTTAAAAGACAGACACGCTACCCATATTTCTTTCCAGGGCTCAAAATATTCTTTTAGAATTAAGGCCAGATTTTACCATCTGTTATTTTCTTTCTTTTTAAAAAACCATTGTTAAATCTGAACAAAAAGCAAGGATCTCAAGATTTGGTTTGCCAAGTTCCTTTATTGTATATTCTTTAACATCTAGTATATTTATTCTACATGGTTCTAATGCTGAAAATCTGCTTTACAAAAATAAAGGGATTTGATGTTTACCTAAACTGCACAGTTTCACACACTAAAGCTGTAATACACTTAACATACAGTCTCTGCTAAGCCAGTACAATTATTTGGTAGATAACTAGATACAACAGAAATGAACACTGATGGTAAACGTAATCAATGATGGTTTCAGGTCTAAAAAATATTATCTTGAATCACCTATATTTGATTTATCTTACATCTCTTCTTTGTTAAAATATAAATTAAGATATCTTAAACTGTGAAGAAAAGTACAGAAAAATAAGCAAGTTCTTAAAAAAATACGTAAGGTTTTATAAATATAGTCATCATCCCTATTCCAGATGGGCAGTCCATTTAAACTATCAGAACATTCACAATATGTATCAGCCTTACTTCTTTCTGCTTTTAAAAAATAAAAAGAAATGAATTTTAAGAACTATTCAAGCGTCCTCATATTATAAATTTTAACTAGAGTTGTAAAAAATTGTTCTTATTAAATTATAGATATATGTATAAAATATTGAAGTTTTATATGTGCAAATGCTTCAAAAAGTTTTCAGACAACAGAATTAAAAAATAATTCACTTTCCCTACAAACTTTTTGAACCCCTCTTGTACATATATGCAAACCCCTTCTGCTTTTTCCCACTCCTTTGACTTTGAGGAATTCTATACCAGTCATCTCCAAATTAGCAGCTTTCACGCTCAGGCAGTCAGTAGCAAAGTTAAATACTCACATGCAAATATAATCTCAACTGGCTAATGTGGACCACACACTGAATAGAACAAGAGTGTAAGTTACAAGTTAAATCTTTTCATGTTCCCAGAGAGGTAAGTGTCTAGGAGGACAGCCGTAAGAAGAGAAAGGAAAGCTGAAAAGCTTTAAGAAAGAAAAACTTTAAGAAGCAAAATAAAGTGTTTAAAACCAACTAAATGAAATCTAGCAAGTCACAGACATTTAGTGAAGGCATGCATTTAAAAAAAAAGAAAGAAAAATATATTTGGTACCTGCCTTGGAAATTAAATTAATAAATTTTAAGACATCTTTTACAATGTAAGTAGTTACATTCTTTTTAGATTTTTAAATAGCAGCAGTTTTCATTAATGGATTATTTATTTTATAGTTGCAGTTTCATCAAATCTGCCTCAGTAAATACCATCGAATATATTTTATGATACAGAATGATTTCCAATTGAATGGTACAAGTATAACAGCACTTCAACATATCAAAAATATCAAGTAGTAACATAAACTCTGCTCAGCTAGCAACTCCCTTGGTAATAAGCAATATAAAAACTTAGTATTATAACAAAACATGTCTGAAGTTTGAGTATTTCAGAATTTCATCAAAACTTACTTTAAAAGAATGTATACTAGGGGGGAATGTAGTGATTACTTTCTAAAATTAGTTTCCATTTCATAGTAAATTAAACTAAAATATGTAGTTCTTTCTATCAGTAAGAAAACATCGATACCTTTAAAGTGCTAAACATTAGATATCAAACGTATCCTTCTACATCATTCTTATGGTTTTATATTTTTCCAGTGGTGAATAATTTGAACTAATGATTTCGAAACACTCTTAAGTGTTATTTTACCTTATTACCTATATAAATAACTCATATTAAAATGGTTCCTTTAAAATATAAAATTTCCAACACCCTTGGTAATATTAAGAGAACAAATTCATTGAGTAATGTCCAATGAATTATACACTAAGTAGTACATACACAGACTAGATAGAGCACTATATCAAAGTGGGAGGGCACAATAAAAAAAAATAGTAGCCCTAGCCAGTACTGAAAAATCAAATTGATTTTAACATCAGACCAATTATGACCCAAATCCAAAAGTTAAAGGGGAGAGGAAAACAAAATTAAAGTGCATATTATTTTCTATAATGCAGACACAGTAGGATGTAAGTGTGGTAGGACAATGCTTGCTTGCTATTTCAGGCCTTGAACATGGACATTAATGGCATTAGAAGCCTAAAATGTGTTTTAATACTACCATATTCAAGTTTTGGGGTTTTTAAAAAAATAATAAACTGCATAATTCACCTGCTATTGCAAATATGCAGCAAATTAGTATTCTCTGGTGCTTAACTTTTATACCAAGTAGTAGCTGCATCGAAGATAATTTAAGTTCTTTTTCAGACATTTAAAGGCACTACACTTGAGTTAAAAACACTACTAGTTCTTGGGAAATAATTTTCAGAATCACAACAAATACACTCCTACAATCCCCAACGTGTATCTTGATGGTAAGTCAGAATTTACATTTCTTCCAGGTAGAAACCTAGTGTATCTTTTATTCAGGCCTCTCACACGTTTATGGAAGATAATTTAGGTTTAGACAAGCCCTGATTCAAATTGGGAAAGGAAAAGAAAAATTAAACTCTATGTCATAGGTAAGTTGTTAAAACCCAAGCTATCATGTCAAGTTACCAAAAAAAAAACAAAACAAAAAAAACCCCCAACATACACAGCTTTTCACAGACAGATGCTTTTCAAATGATCACCATCAGACGTAATCTCTGAATACGTAATCAAGTAAACCAAGAATCAGATTGTTATGGCATAAAATTATTCATGCCAGGGAAGTCAGTGAGCATTTTTAAGATAAGCACAAAAACATTTTAGCCTTTTTAAACAAAAGTATCCTGAATAAACTGTACAGGGTGCCACGCTAGCTTCTACTTCTATTATATCTATGATTGGACATCGCCATACACCTACCTAAATAGCTACCCAAAGAAATGCCTTTTGTAGCGTTTATACACTAATACGAGATGTCAAAGGCATGTAAAGATGCAGAAGCTAAATGTTAAAGTTTGATTGTGTTGAAGGCTTTTCTCTAATAAAGTTACTTATTTTTTGTTAAATGATCCACCTTCTACTCTGCTTTCCAGGTACTTGTCCAACTCTGCCTCCTTCTTCACTGCTTCTGGCGATACTTTGGGTGCATTTGGGAAACAGATCAATATCACACTCATGTTGTCTCGACTTCCCTGGGAAGAAAAAAGTTTGAGAAAATATTTGTTTTCTTTTTGCCTGACCATACAGCTTCCTTAAAACTTTGAGAATCTTTACAGCATGCCAAGTATAAACATACTATCTATATATTTGTTTAGTGAGATCGATACTTGTTTAGTGAGATTATATAATAATGGGGGGAAATATATGTGTGTGGGTGCCCCTTGCTCCCCCACATACATGGTGTGTGAAAATATATATAGATGTATGTAGTATAAGCAACATTCCAAAATATAGCAGAGAAATATTAAAGGTTAAACCCACCTCCCCTCTGTAATCATTTTTTAAAATTTGATAACACAAAAAAAATTTCTACTTAACTTGAAGCAATACCTGACATATACACATTTCATACAATATAACAAAACAAAATTTCAGTCATAATTCTTACAACAGGACCTATAGTTACATGTATATTTGACATTTACCTTTAAAACATTGTAATAAGCATCATGAAGCTAATTTATTCACTTTACAAAGTAGAAATATAGAATCAGAAATTAAACTACACAAAGTATATAAGCCAGATTTTAACTTTTAATTAAGAAATTGACTAGAAAGCATTCATTTGAAATGACAAGTACTTAAAAAGTACAATTATTTATCATTGTTGGCCTCTCACAGCCTCATCTTGATTAGTAACTTAGAGTTTAACTTCTGCATTTCAAGTATTTAATTTTGCTATATACTAAGGACAAACTGTACACTAACAGAACTTACAATATGAACGATACTGAGTAATTTTAAAAATAGAATGGAACACAAGTGATGTCAAACCTGAGCCCTAATTTACTAATACGTGAATTAGACAATTCTCTTAAGAACTTGGCTTTTAATCCAGATAAAAATTTTTAGTTTTCAAGACTACAAAATAAATCCAATCCATGGATACTCCTTTCATGTATACCATGGACAAATAAGAGATCACTTTTTATTTCTCTCCAAATTCTGAAATTGGCAGCATCAATGTACACTATTAATTGTCAATGTTTTGCTCTACTGAATTTTAAGCATATGGTTGGTTAGGATGTTAACATATATTTGATTTCTAAATATAATCAGATTTTAATTAAGATTTTAACTGGAAGTGTGTATATGAGAAAATAAAGAATATTATAAATGGCTTTTATTTTTTCTATGCTAGATGAAAATATACAGCCTTAGAAGAGTGATACAAAAAAGAAAATCAACATTTCTTCTTTTTTTTTCTTCACTGTACTGAGTGTTGTGATTGATCCTGATTACCAAGGAAAAACAACATTTGTTCTTTAAAAAAAAAAAAAAAAAGGATATGTCTGGAATTCATGAAAGAGCATTATTGACCCAAAAATTAGTGGACATTTTCCATGATTTTTGAAGCCCTTAATATGCCATTTAATTGTCACAATTCCATGAGATAAGGTAGTATATGTTCATAGTATAATTCACAATTAAATAAACTGATTTTCCTGATCTGAAGTCACACACTCTCAACCAAGTTCTTCTGACAATACAACCGAAGGTTACTCCTAGCATATCACATCAGATAATTCCTAAGGTTCCTTGGTTAGTACTATTGATTCATTATAGTCTCAAAGTATTGTTATAAATGTGCCAACATATCACATGATAAAGATATTCAAATTCTAAAATGTTTTTCACTTATAGACAGAAGTCTAACTTTCCCCACTTCCATCTTTTAAAACATAAATTGCAATATGATCCTTTTATCTCGGATAAACTTTCAAGTGATTAAAAAGTTCAAGCCAGGCTTATTAAGACTAAATATTCAGGTTATAATTCTTGCATAAATAACTGAGTAATTTATTTTTAAAAATTGTTATGATGAATTTTAATAGGGAAGATTACCCTGTATTACTGTCAAAACTTATTTCTAAAAACTACAGGTTTTAAGATGATGAAATACCAGAATTAAAATAACAACAGATTTTCTTTAAAAAAAAGTCTAGCTACCTTATACAAACAGGTGTCGACTACTTCATTGCAAACTTTTTCAAGGTCATCAGTGACTTCAAGCCTGGATCTTACAAAATCACAGAGCTCTTCATTTCCCATAACATCCCAGATACCATCGCACGCAAGGATAATGAACTGATCATCTTCTTCTGATCTTTCAATATCATAGACTTCAGGCTCTGGTGAGACAAGCTGCTCTGTAGGACCTTTTCCATGGACACATTTGTAATCGAAATCCCCAAGGGCCCTCGATACAGCCAGAGAGCCGTTGACACGCTGAATCATCACAGAGCCACCTGCGTTCTGAATCCGTTCTTTTTCCAGCGGATTACTTGGTTTGTGATCTTGTGTGAAGAAGTGAACTTTCCTGTTCCTACAAAGTAAGCCCCTTGAGTCTCCACAGTTAATGAAATAAGTATGGTTGGGAGAAATTAAGACCCCCACGGCTGTTGACCCACTTCTATCTGCACCATGTTTCTTCTCTGACATAACTCTCATATGTTCATCAATCTCCAGAAAACCTGTTCTGATTCCACTCTTTACATTTTCCACAGAAGGTGCTCCTGCAGACCCTTTAAAATCCTGGTTACTGGTGATGTGATCTAACAAATGCTCACAGCAGTATTTGGCAACCTGAGAACCAGCATGCCCATCATACACAGCAAAGAATGACCATGTTTCAAGTCCACTTGGCAAACCAATCACAGCTGTATGTGCATCCTCCATTTCAACACGCCAGCCTTGCATGCTGCTTAGTCCATATCGCAGCCCATTACCCTGCCCCTGGGCGTTATGTTTTTCCATCTTTGGCTTGTCTAGAAATGCTCCCATTATGTCTTGATATTCTAGGTCTGAAAAGGAAGCAAAACAAGAAAATTATTAACTGGCTTATAAACAAAATGCATATCAAAACAATGTTTTTAAAGGTGAAAGAGATACAGGCAACTTTAAATAAGAATTCACAACTCTTGTGGTCAGCAGACACTCACTGTGTTGCCGACTTGAAACCTGGAGGTTAACAAGGAGACACTCAGGGAATGGTTGATCAGACAGGGCTCAGAACTGGCAACAAGCAGGAAGAACAAAAACCATCAGGATAAAGGCCAAGGGAAACGCTAGATCAGTGGTTCTCAACCTTCCTAATGCCACGACATTTTAAAACAGTTCCTCATGTTGTGGTGACCCTCAACCATAAAATTATTTTCGTTGCTACTTCATAACTATAATTTTGCTACTGTTAAGAATCCTAATGTAAATAAATATCTGATATGCAGGATGTATTTTCATTGTTACAAATTGAACATAATTAAAAGCATAGTGATTAATTACGAAAACAATATGTAACTATATATTGTAAAATATTTCAAATTACAAATAGATGAAATTTTGTCTTGAAGCATGGTGTAGCATGGGTAACAGTGTTCACGCCGGGTACTCATATGTGGACGTATCTGCACGTGGCCAGACCTGCTTGGAGACGGATAGAGGAGCTGTGTCTTGGTTCTTAAGACCATCGGAAATATGTGTTTTCCGCTGGTCTTAGATGACCCCTGTGAAAGGGTCACTTGACCCCCCCAAAGGGGTTGCGACCCACAAGTTGAGAACCGCTACTCTAGATCTTTAAGCATAACAACTTGGGGTGGAAAAGAGACCTGGAAATAGCCACTAAGTTACATAAACCAGGCAAGTTTTTATGGATGGACCAAACACATGCAAGTTGTATGTGTATATCAATCAAGAAAAGCCTTCTAACTCAAAGATATCTTAGAAATTGAGGATTTCTTGCAATTTGACACCCAACTATCTAATTTTACTCTCATCACACAAACCCTCAGCAAACGTCAAAATGATCTACTCCCGATGTTCTACATTTTCACATTCCTTCTTGGAAGTCTTTGCTTACGTGTCAATCCTCTAACTAAAGCCCCAAGTGCAGCCATCATTTAAAATTCAGCTCAAAGTTTATCTTTTACATGAGATTTTACAGTTAAAAATGATGTACCACCAATTTTCAAGTTGCACGATATTACACATGTGTATAACAACAAAGCTTATGAGCTATGAGGGTGCTTTAAAAAGTTTCTGGAAAAATTCCATTCTCTTTTAATTCCATTTACCATGAACTTTTTGAAGTGCCCTTGTAAAAATAAAAGTAATCTCTTGGTAATTTATTAATTTAATGGCAATACTATACATCAGTACCACTTTATAATCTTAAAAGTATAAGTGGTAAAGGAGATTGGTCATAGGGTATAGTGAGTGACAGCCTTGCTTACAAGTCTAAAAGCTCAGTTAATCTAATTCTTTCTCAACAGTAAAAGTTAAAACCTCTACAATATCAGGTTTTTAGAGCGATGTTTTACATTTGATAGACAAATTAATGTATTATTGTTAATTATCTACATTTTTTAAAAGGTGAAATGCAATGCACTGCATATGGTAAAGGTAAATAAAACTCATTGTAAAAAGTTTTTGTTTCACATATACAATTGTGTTTATTGAGTTGCTTTACATAATTCTTAGTCAGAAATTTTGGAATTTTTCCATGTGCCCAAGATAACATGTATACAAATGTTTTTTGAGAATTATAGCAGTACACAACTGGAAACAAATTAACTATTCATTATTAACAGAAAAATGAACTCTACATACAGATCATCAACAGGCACTTTTCAAAAACAAACAAAAAGACAGTATGATTAATAATGCAGAAATCGACTTCATTTTTGGCAAAAACACAAAAACTTGACTTATACTTCAGAACAGTTGTGAGTTGTTTTATTAACCAATGTCCCTCTAGCATTTAGAACATAGCCCAACACATAACAGAATCTAAATAATATGATGAATGATTAGTTTCTTTCTGGGAAGAACGAACGAGAATAACCTCAGAAAAGAACCTCATATCTGCAAGTGGTACTGACTGTTGAAGCATGACGGCATTCTCAGGAACAGCTGCTTTACTTTTTTACTTCCGTTTTTTTAATGGCTTAACTAAGATACACAGAAGTTCTCAAATGTTACTTAAGAAATCAAAAGAAATACAGGAACCAAGGAAATAAAAATTCCAAAAAGCAAAGAAGATTCTCTTAAAATTTAACCAGATCTATCTCTACATTAGACACAGTAAAAAACCCCAGTCCAACGGTCAAAATGATGAAGCAGATCGATAGCAAGGAAGATTTTCAGGCAGCCCTGAAGAGTGCTAGAGAGAAGCTTGTAGTGGTTGACTTCTCAGCCACATGGTGTGGGCCCTGCAAAATGTTCAAGCCTTTCTATCATTCCCTCTGTGAAAAGTATGGCAATGTGGTCTTCCTTGAAGTTGATGTGGATGACTGCCAGGGAGTTGCTTCAGAGTGTGAAGTCAAATGCATGCCAACGTTTCAGTTTTATAAAAAGGGACAAAAGGTGGGTGAATTTTCTGGTGCTAATAAGGAAAAACTTGAAGCTACCATTAACGAGTTAAGTTAATTATGCTTCCTGAAAATGTAACCAGTCATCAGCTATGTAAACCTTTTTGTATTTATAAGAAAGAAGAATCAAGTATGAAGACTATATACCCAGCTGCCATCTGATTATAAATGACAGTAAAATATTAATTCTACCCTTAAAAAAAAACAAACCTGTTCTCTCCCTCATTCTTCTTATACCCCACGTACTCACTGTTGAACAACTAGCTAATAGGTGGTTAAAGGCTTAATAATAACACCTAACATTCACAGAGGGATTGCTACCAGCCAAACATTCCATTGTTACACACACACACACACACACACACACACACACACACACACACACACGTCTCTTTCATTTTCACACAACCACTTACAACAAAAAAAAGAAAAAGTTGATTTGGAGTGACATACTACCACCAAGAAACAAAAGGCAGGAGTAGAGAGAGTTCTTCAGACTTGGGGGTCCCTAAATTGAGAAACCCCTACACCCAGGGGAAGACTGAACCTTCCCAAGAACCTTTCCCAGAGTCAACAGAGAGAAAGCCTTCCTCTAAGGTTGGCACTCTGAATTCAGACTTTTTACCTCCTCAACTATGAGAGAATAAACTTCTACCCCCCCCCTCCAATTTGTTTTATTACTATTTTTGCTGTAAAGTAGATTCTGAGTCACGGTGACTTCATGTGTTTCAGGCAGAACTGTGCAACAGGGTTTCAATGGCTTCTTCGGGAAGTAGATCACCAGGCCTTTCTTCTGAAGTGACTCCAGGTAGATTTGAACTGTCAGCCTTTCAGGTAATAGCCAAATGTTTATCTATTTGCACTATCCAGGGACTCTCCCATCTCTAAAAGCTTGGTTTATCCCTGATGTACTACTGACTAGCAAACTGATCCAAGGTTTAACTGCTGAAGGACAACAGCAAGTTACATCATATTTCCAGGTCTTAATTCCCTTAACTAGGCAAAGGAGAAGAGGAGGTTGTTATACCTAGACACCTGAATATACTAATGGAGCATCCCTCAATCTGTTCAATGGGCACATCAACACTTAGTTCTGTTACTGCAAAGTTTACATGATGTAATGGCTACACAGTAGCCTCACTGCCTGGTACCGATGATATGCTTACCAAAATACAAGCTATTGTAATTATTACTGCATTCCTCCATAAAGAGCCTCTGCAAACAGGGACTATACTCTTTCTTTTACAGACAGGCCCAGTAGTTATTGATGAAGGTATACTTTCTTAAAGCAAAATCTGTAGACTTTTGAAGAAATATTAGAGGTGTAAAAACAGCAATTCAAGTTAATCATCTGATAAAATTATAAGTTCAATTCAATCAAACTGTAAAAACATAATAAAGGGTAAATTAATCATTTTGTAGTTGGACTTTTGCATAATGGAAAGAAGACATCTCAACTTCTTGGGTTCTATAGTTATATAAATATAGCAGATTAATATGTAAGTATAATATTTACTTATTATAAACAGTACATTTAGAAAGACATCTTCTATAAGTAGACCACTGAAGAGAATTTTATTTAATCAAATTACTAAATTGGCATATATCAAAAAGTGTATTCCAAGGGGGTTTAATTTCAGTTGGTTTCTGAGAAACTAAATTCTTGACTAGAGAGGTGGGAAAGCCTTCTATCTACTCAATGCACATGCTGGGTCTCATCACAGCACTAGTATATCAGTTGATCTAAACTTCTCAAAACAAAGTGCTATGACAATCACAAGACTGGTTCGTCTTTGATAGAATCAGAAACTTGATGAGCATTTCATATCTTTTAAAACCAAACTAATGCCTAAGTTTTAAAAATTCTAAGACTGGACCAGGAAGTCATTCAATAGCTTCACTACTACCTCTTATTAAGCAATGCGGATTAATTAATTTAATTATTAATCAGCATCAATCTTATTAATAATAACAATCTTATTAATATTAATATCAATTAATTGTTGATCTTATTAATTAATCAATCTGATTAATCATAACCGTAGCAGGGAGTTGAAATTGGTCATCTGGTTTAATCCATTCGAATTACCCCAAATAAAAAGGCTCCAAAGCAATTTATTAGGCAAAAGTATTAAGAACTACTTGATTCACAATTTGGTCATAGTTCTCAGATTAAAAAAAAAAAAAAAGGAAGACTGTATCCTACAATGTATTTTCTGTCTGGCTACTAGACTCATGGTCTTGGAAGATAAACAGAAAAATGTAAGCAATATTGAGAAAAGGGCATTCTCTTAGCAACTAGTACCAGAATTGTTTTTAGGACAAGGCCTACTTTTTCTGAGAAACACTACTTTGATCAAATACATATGGGTAAGAGGTAAGGATTGAAAATATACTCAGATGATAATGAAAGATGACAGCTAAATAAGACACCCCAAAAGGGGCAGATGCTGGAAACTAGTGTGTACCCAACATTCAAATTAGGTGCAGTGCAGCATGGAATGTAAACTCTCCACCATCACTAGCACACTCTACACTGTCCACTAATGCTTACACATGAAAAGACTTTGTCTTTAAAGATAAGGCCCAAAAGTCAGCTGTCCACAGGGAGGCACTTTTATTAAATTACAGAATATTAAGCAATATGCTGCACAGTTGGGCTTAGAATATTAAGCAATATACTGCACAGCTGGCCATATCACTGTAAAGGATAATTTAGGATGCATAAACAACTTTTAACTTGCCAAGTTATATATTATAATATGCAAAGCAGCCATCTCAAGGTATATCTATGATCATGAGAAATAGCATGGGAATGACACTTTGAGGAGGAGGAAAGGGGATTAAAAAATAAGGCTAGCCTTTGGGTAAGTTTTCTCTCACTTGGAATCTGAAATTCCTCCCTGATTACTGCTTTTTAAAATTATTACACAGAGAGGCTTCAAAAAGTTTGTGAAAAAAGAAATGAAAAGATAATGGAATTTTCCTACAAACTTTTTGAAGTTCCCAGTATTTAGTTATGAATTTTATTCTGATACTTTATATAATTAACCAGTGCCCAAATGAAGAAATGATCTGAAACTAGGGGAAAAGGATGACTTGCCCCAGGTCACAGGGCTAGGGCTAGTTCAGCAGTAAAGCTGAGGCCTAGTTCTGCAGTAAAGCAGTAAAGGCCTAGATTTCTATACCTGCACTCCAATTCTCTTCTACTGTTGTACTATGTACTTATAAATGAAGTAATAGAGAAAATGGAAATCTAAAAACATAGCTTTTTGTGTGTGTGATTGAACAAAATGGAAATGCCTGCAGTGCCATTTCTCCCTGAGCCTACAAGGCTTCCCTACTCCAATAATCTGTTCTCCAAACTGTCAAAAGAGAAATGACCAAGGAAGGAAGAAAAGGAGGGAGGGATGAAAAGGAAGGCAAAAATTGAAACTTTTTAAAAATTTTGCTTGGAACTGAAAAAACAGAATAGTGAGTTATGATTTCTGGCAAAGCCAATCTCAGATATTCAGGCTAAATAAAATATAAAACCAGCAGAAGGGGTCAAAAAGAATAATAATAAAGATTCAGAAGTTTAGAGAAAGGGGGACTCATTAGCTCCAAAGTAATTACCCAAATGCTTACCAACTGCACAATGGACAATCTACAATTACATACTGAAACGTAGCTGAATGACACAAACAATGCTGAACAAAAGAAACTAGACACAAGAGAATATACAAATTCCCAATACAAGAAAGCAATCCATACTATTCAAAGTGGTGGTAGGGGTGAGTGGAAGTAAGAGCAGTGAGTAACTAACCAGAAGGAAACATGTGATGAAGATTTTTGAAGAACTGGTGTTCTGTTTCTCAATCCCAGTTACTACTTATATAGGTACGCTCACTCTGCAGTCTTCGTATACAAAGATGTACAACTATAACAAAATGTAATACATGGAGAAGTCAACAAGTATTGCTACTAGGATTCCGGTTCACAAGCTTAAATGAATCCCTGAAATCAGTATATGGCTGTAGATTAGTTCTCTCAGCAATACACTTGTATTTATACCATTAGGGTACCTTCAAGATTAAAAGATTTTGTTTTGTTTTGAAAATCATTTTATTAGGGGCTCATACAACTCTTATCACAATCCATACATACTTCCATTGTGTTAGTACATTTGTTGCCCTCATCATTCTCAAATATTTGCTCTCCACTTAAGACCTTGGTATCAGCTCATTTCCCCCTCCCCCCCGGCTCACCCCACTCCTGAATCCTTGATAATTTATAAATTATGTTGTCATGTCTTAACACTGTCCGACATCTCCCTGCACTAACTTTTCTGTTGTCCGTCCCCCAGGGAGGAGGTTATATGTAGATCCTTATAATTGGTTCCCTTTTTCTACCCCACCTTCCCCCACCCTCCCAGTACCGCCACTCTCACCACTGGTCCTGAAGGGATATCTGTCCTGGATTCCGTGTGTTTCTGGCTCCTATCTGTACCAGTGTACATCCTCTGGTCTAGCCGGATTTGTAAGGTAGAACTGGAATCATGATACTGGG